GAGCTCCATGGGGACCTGGATGCCACCGAGCTCCATGGTGACGTGGATGCCACTGAGCTCCATGGTGACGTGGATGCCACCGAGCTCCATGGGGACCTGGATGCCACTGAGCACTGCTGTGACCCAAGTGCCACTGAACAGGTGAAGGTGGCTTTAAGGGACACAGACGCACCTTCTCACAGCTCTGGAAGCTGATGTCCACATCAAGGTCTCACCGTGGGGTCCCCCCGGCAGGGGGTCCGGGCCCTGGGCTTGAAGGGGACCCTCATGCACCTGTCTTCCCCAGTGTGAGCTTGTCAACCTGCCCTCCTATACCCAGGACTGAGTGGGGTTAAGACCCTCCCCCACTATATGCCTCATTAACATAACATTGGATTCATTATGGAGGGCGAAGGGGCCCTGGTGGCTCTGTGGTTAAACACTCGACTGCTGGCTGAAAGGTCGGAGGTTCGAGCCACCAGCGCTCTGGGATTAGGACACGCAAGCTGCTCCCACAAGGACCACAGCCCTGGAAACCCTGTGGGGCCGTTCCCACAGTGTCACTAGGAGTCAGAGGCGACTTGGTGGCAGTGGGGTTTCACTCTGGAAGCTGAGTGCATTACATCATAGGAGTCAGGGGTAACGGTTAGAGGTTAGATTCCAGCACATCTGTTGGATCCATAGCAACATCTGTCTCTGAGGGAGGTGAAACCTTGAGCTTACGGCCGCCTTAGTGGGGGGCCGCATCACAGCACCTGGGCAACGGGCCACTCACTCCCTGCTACTCCTGGGAGACGGGCAAGGGGAAGAAGCTCCCAGGCCCCAGCCCTAGGGACCAGCCTGGCCAGTCCCCAGTGCACAGAGGAGGCAGCCTGGTGTTGGGCCTGGAGGCTCCGGGCCACCTGTCAGGTAGAGAAGGGGACAGGAAGGAGGAACGGAGGACGGGGCACTCCAGACTCCAGAAATGGCTTCTGTAGAAGTGGAGGGGACGCGCTCAGGCATCTGTGTGGGGCTGGGCAGAGGGCAGAGCTGTCCATATTCCTCCTGCACTGAGGCAGCCCAGTGGTTAGTGCTCGCAGAGCTGGGCACACATGTCCCCTGTGAGTTGTGCCAATGAGCAAACACAGTTACCTGTGCCTGCCTGGGGCTCTCGCCTTGGTCATCCCACCAGACCTGGTGCCAATTCTGGGAAGAGGAGGTACCACTGGGCCCCATAGAACAGGAGCCCAAGGCCCGAGAGGTCAGAACGGGACATGGGCCGGGGCCCCAGGGGGAATGGAGGAGGCAGGGCCAGTCCTCCCGGTAAACCAGAGCCCTTCCCTTGGGATGGCAGAAGTGAGAGGCCCCACACCAAGTCCTGGTGGCCCTGTCAGCCAGAGGCCACACACCGAGTCCCGGTGGCCCCGTCACCAGAAGAAGGCGTCCCTCTCAGGACATCTAGGCCTTGGTGGGGTGAGGCAAGTAGCTTTGCAGGCAGACTACTCAGGGCACTATCGTGCTATCCCCTTCTGACAGGGGTCTTCCAAGGTCACCACTCCCCTTCTGGCCTCGGGCTCTTTATCTGGTGAAAGGGTGCGTTCCCAGTGAACTTGCAGGGTCTGTGGGGATGGGCCTTTGTTCCTTGACTGAACAGGTGTTTATGGAGCCCCTAAACCCACCAGCCACTCCTCGGAAGGAAGATGGGGCAATCTACTTCCGTAGTGATACTGCCTTGGAAACCCAAGGAGGGGCTGCTATGAGTCGGGTCCAACTCGACGGCACATGACAACAACCACAGCATGACAGTGTCGACCGGCTGTAAGGTGGGCCGTGTGAACCCACCCAGAGGCACCTTGGAAGGCAGTTCTGGTCATCTGCTTCCAGAAGACCACAGCCTTGACAACTCTGTGGGGCAGTGCCCTCTGCACACACGGGGTTGCCATGAGTCAGGACCAAATCAAAGCCCACTGAGACCTGGTGCACCTCTGAGGAGGCAGATGGGGGTTACGACGTGAACAAGACAAGCTCCCTCGCTCCTGCGGTCACCGCCAGGTGAGGAGACCGCCCTGTGGGTGTCTCAGGTCCAGGCTTCCTCGTCCCAGGTGGGCCCTGGCTGGTTTCATCCTCCAGGTGAGGGAACCAAAGCCCTGAGGGAGAGGCAGAGTCAGCCGCTGAGTGTGGGGTCAGCGCCAGAGGCCGTGGGGACGCCTGGCCCAGCCTTGGGTTCACAGAGGAGAGCGCCCACAGAACCCCTCACTGAAGCGACTCTCTCCTTTCCAGAGCATTCCGGGTAAGCAGCGACGACTCAGCCTGGGCTGGTTTGAACCTCTGGAAATCTCAGCTGGGATCCTGGCGTCTAGGGAAGGCCAGACCCTAAAAATAAACCGCTTGCCGAGCCTCGGAGCCAGTGAGCAAAGCTGCTGCCTGACGCGCCTGCAGACGCACGGCTGAGCGGCCCCCGCCCGGGCAGCTGGCCCCTGGGAGGGGCTGGTGACAGGTGGCAGCCAGGAATACTTAACTCCCGCTCCGGAGTGCCCTACCCCACACGCACACGCTCTGACCTGGCACTGGCTCTGGGGAGCGTGGCAGGGTGGATCCTGAGAAGACGGGGACACTAGATGCTGGAGGTCTTGTGCTGGACAGTGACCAGCCACAGGTAAGGGACGTCTCTGCAAGGGCCCACCGGCTGGGAGAGGGTGGACGGCTGCGGGCCTGGGGCGGAGGGGGCTTGAGAGAACATGCGACTGTTCCCTGGGTGCCTGGCATGGGGGGGCATCACGATGCCGCTTCTCCCTCCCCACGGCCCAGCCTGGGAGAGGTTGCCTGCCCTTTTCATCCTCGGACGCGCTGAGTGTCCTGTTGCCTTAATGTGTGAACACACTCAGCCACCGCCAAAGTGTGATGGCCCTGTTGGCTTAGTGAGATCCCAGCAACAGCTTCACGGGTTTGCAGGAAGCAAGTGGAAAAGTTCTGAAGGCAGTTGGCAGGGGTGTTCCAAGGAGCCTGGCACCTTTGGGGGAGAAAGACAGCCCCCACCCCGGGCCCTGCAGAGGACAGGGTGGGGCAGCAGGGCTGATGGTGTCCCTCTGCTGGGGACAGAGCCTGGCCCGGAGGAGGCCGGTCTGAGGAGGTGTCTTGGGGTGGTGGTCCCCCACTGGTACTGACCTTCGAGGTTGACCAAAGAAACCACTCTTTCAGGGGCTGCTGGGGGTGTGGAGCCTGACTGAGCAGAGTGGATGGGGACCGATTGGGGTTGGCCCCTTTGTCCCTTAGTGCTCATACACGGGCCTGATCCTTGGGCAGGACAGTCACTCAACGGTGGTGATTCATGTGACAGTGGCTCCTGGGTGGGTGGGGGGCTCCGAGAGGGGCTCGGTGGGCAGGAGGCTGTCTGCTGCCTTCACCCTGCTCTGTTCATTGAGAACCACAGGGGCAGGGGTGCGTGCTGGGAGACTGAGGGCGCTGGGTGGGCAAATGGCTGCCAGGAGTCACTCAGGGTGTGTGCTTCCCGGCTTGTGCACACTCAGAGTGTGCGGTTACCTGTGACAGGTTTGTTGTGGGAGTCACTCAAGGTGTGTGGTCACCTGTGACAGGCTTGTGGGGAGAGTCACTCAAGGTGTGTGGTTGGTTACCTGCAGTGGCTTGTTGGTGGGAGTCACTCAAGGTGTGTGGTTACCTGCAGTGGCTTGTTGGTGGGAGTCACTCAAGGTGTGTGGTCACCTGTGATAGGCTTGTGGTAGGAGTCACTCAAGGTGTGTGGTTACCTGCAGTGGCTTGTTGGTGGGAGTCACTCAAGGTGTGTGGTCACCTGTGACAGGCTTGTTGGCGGCATGAGGACGAGTTGGCACCTACTGCAGCCGCCCTGGACGGCAGTGGCCTGCATGGATGCACACATGCATAGGACTGTGGGTGCTGTCAGGGTGTTTGGTCCTGGGATATGGCCGTGGGGAGGAATGCCACCCTCCCCACGGGAGTCAAGAAACCCCTGGGTCTCAGCTGAACATAGACACGTCATTCCTGCCACCACCACCCAAGTCCCCTCCGTCCCAGGTGTCCATCCGCCCTGTCACCTTCCGCGTGCCCTTCCTTCCAGATCCGGTTCCCAGTCGCCCTTCTCTCCCACACAGCCTGGAGCCCGCTGGACCTCCCCGGCAGCCCCTCCCCGCCTCCCAGCTCCGTCCCCCTGCTTCTGGAAGACTCCCTGGCTGGGCCGGGAGTGTGGTCCAGGCTTGCTCCTGACGTCACCACTTACTTGGGCCATGAACCTTGGCAGACA